GCGGTTTTCACCATTACTTTTGAAGGCGAAAACTGCAGTTACTTTTGCTCCAACCTATTCATATTAATTGTATTCTCTTCATGAATATTATTATTCATGAGTATTAATTCATATTGTCTTCGTGTGTCTCTCTCCCCACTAAGACCATATGTTTCTCAGGGGCAGGAGCTATATTTTATATTTCCACGGCCTGGCACATGGTAGGTACTCTATCCATACTTGTGAAATTAATTAATGGATAGCCACATCAAGTTCACAAGAATCTTTAAATATAATTTCACATACAACTACTTTTACTTTTTTTAAGATGGAGTCTCACTCTGTCACCGAGGCTGGAGTGCAGTGACGCAATCTCAGCTCACTGCAACCTCTGCCTCCTGGGTTCAAGCGATTCTCATGCTTCAGCCTCTTGAACAGCTGTAACTACAGGTGCATGCCACCATGCCCGGCTAATTTTTGTAATTTTTTTTTTTTTTTTAGTAGAGACAGGGTTTCGTCATGTCGGCCAGGCTGGTCTCGAACTCCTGACCTCAAGTGATCTGCCTGCCTTGGCCTCTCAAAACGCTGGATTACAGGTGTGAGCCACCGTGCCTGGCCACATATAACTACTTTTAGGATTTGTTTTCTGTCTTGGGGCTTCCTGGAGGTCAAGTCTTCTGGCTGTGTCTCTAGGCCACAGTGGGGTGCAGTGCCCCACTTGGGGGGCCATCAGGGGATTCCCTATAGACAAACTGTCCAGCCCTTCCTAGCATCCTGTCCTTAGTGGGACACTGGAAGGGCACAGAGCAGGAGTGAGCAGTTAAGGGTGAGCCCCAGAAGGAGCAGAGGAAAGAAAATAAGAAGTGAGGAGAACAGAAAGCAAGACTTCTCCCTCGGCTTTCCGTGGCCCTGGGAGCTGAGCACGGCTGCCAAGCAAACACTGGTGTGGAGCAGCAAGAAGGAGAGCCCAGGCTGGATGTGGTCGGCCGCTGGGTGGAGTTAAAATGTATAACAAGGGAGAGGCAACTGAAGAAAAGAAAAGATTCTTTTAAAAATTCGGCTGACGCCTAATTAAAAAAAAATTCCACTCCCTCATGCTACGTTTTAAGAGACTTCCCTTTCAGAATTATTTTCAGTCTGGTGGTAACAGGCAGGAAGAGTGTCAGATGTTCACCAAGCTATAAAGAGGACACTCCCCACCCTCTAAAACACAGGGCCAGCCCCCACATTGCTTTTCTGACTTGGGTTATGAGGATACAGGATGTGAAGTTGTCAAGGCATAGATCTTTCCGGAAAGGAGTGTCCCATGTGGTACATTAAAAAAAAAAAAAAAAAAAAAATGGCTGCAGTATTTTGCAGCTTCTCCCACCAAGAGGTGGAGTCAGTTTCACCAGCCCTTGAATCTGGGTTATACTACTCACGGGACATCAGGACACCTAATGCAAGCAGAAGCTTGACAAGTGCTTGCACAGGGGGGTTTGCTCTCTTTTGCTATTTTTGGAATCCAGCCATCATGTGAAGAAGTCTAGACTGGCTTACTAGAGACACATAGCCTGGTCACCCTTGTGGATCCCTCCAAGGTTCCAGGCACATAAGTGACACCATCTGGGACCACCAGGCCTCAGACAGTCCTCATGTGACTGTAGCCACATATACAAGTTCAGGTGAACTCAGCAGAAGAACTTCCCAGCTAAGCCCAACCCAAACTGCCATCTCCTAGGATGGTGAGCTAATTAATAATTGTTGTTTTAAGCCTCTTAAGTTTTGGATATTTTAAAAATATGGTGCTATGGTCTCAATGTTTGTGTTGCCTGGAAATTAATATGTTGAAACCTAATCCCCAATTTAGGGGCATTAAGAGGTAGGACCTTTGGGAAGTGATTAGATTATGAGAATGCAGCCCTCCTGAATGGGACTTGTGCCCTTATAGAAGAGGCCTAGGGGAGCTTGTTTGCCCCTTCTGCAATATGAAGACACAGCAAAAAGATGCCGTTTATGAGGAACGGGACTTCACGAGATACCAAATTTGCCAGTACGTTGATCTTGAACTTCTCAGGCTCCAAAACTGTGAGAAATACATTTCTATTGTTTATAAGTTACCCAGTCTGTGGTGTTTTGTTGTAGCAGTACAGATAGACTAAGACAGATGGCAAAACCAACCAACCAACCTACTAATACAGTCTGAGTCACAGGTGGAAAAATCCATGTAGAAATAACCACCTTACAACCTTGTATAGGAAAGCTATTATAACGGTGTGTTTTGGCCTGTTCAAGCTGCCATAACAAAATACCACAAACTGGGTAGCTTTTAAGCAGCAGAAATATATTTGTCCCAGTTCTGGAGGCTGGGAAGTCCAAGATCAAGGCATTGAGGATGGCAGATCTGGTGTCTGGTGAGGACCTGCTTTCTGGTTCACAGACGGTGTCTCCTTACTGTGTCTTCATGTGGTGGAAGGGGCAAGCTAGCTCTCTGGGTCTCTTTTATAAGATCAGTAAAGCCATTCATTCATGAGAGCTCCACCTCTATGACCTAATCACTTCCCAAAGTCCCCACCTCCTGATATCATCACATTGACGGTTAGGTTTCAACATTCAGACTATACCCTAGAGCGATTCAGAGTGTGGGCTTTGAAGCCAGGCAGGTTCAGTCCTGCCACTCGGATATAATCTTGGACACCTTTGGTAACAATGGTAACAGTGACAGTACATGCTTTGCAGAGTTGTAATGAGAACTGTGTCGGCCAGGGTCACACACCTGTATTAGGATAACTTGAGGAGAGTTTATACAGGGACTACTACATCTACAAAGATGTGGCCAGGGTTCAGGGAAACACAAGAGAGGGTGTAGTGCCCTGGGGTTGTGATAGCACCCAGGTGGGAAGCAAGGACAGGGCATGGTGATGAGAAGCTGAGGACAGAGCAGCAGGGTCAAGAGGGCTGCTTAACAGGACCCATAACCTTGTGTTGAGAAATGAGTCTGTTCTGCAGTGACATGGCTGGGAGGGGGCTGGGTGAATACAAACTCTGATCTAACTTCTTCCTCTTGCCTATTTTTGCCAGTGATCCTCCTTGGCCAAATCCAACTGGAAGCCACTGGGCTTCAAATCAGCCCCCTGTGGCAAAACGCAAGGTGGAGAAGGTGGGAGAGTAGATCTGGGGCAAATGGAAGGTATCCAGTTCACGGATTTAAAAGCAATAATGCATAGGAAAGCACTGATCATGTACCTAGCACCGAATCACTGTTTGCTGTAATATTATTATATTATCAGAAGAAACCAAGAGCTATGGGTGGCAGAAGAGGAATTGAGTATTTTATTTTATTTTTTTTGCTAGGGCGACCTGCAGAATATTCATGGAGGAGGTCTGCTTTGAGTTCTGGCTTGGGGAGTTGAAGAAAATAATAGAGCAAACACTGACATGGAACCTACTATGTGCAGCTACCATTCTGGATGTCATACATACATTAATTTGTTTAGTCCTCATATCTACTTTATGGGGTAGGTACTGTGATGGTTAGTATTAAGTGTCAATTTGATTGGATTGAAAGATACAAAATATTGATCCTGGATGTGTCTGTGAGGGTATTGCAGACGGAGATTCACATTTGAGTCAATGGGCTGGGAAAGGCAGACCCACCCGTAATCTGAGTGGGCACCATCTAATCAGCTGCCAGTGCGGCTAGAATATAAGCAGGCAGAAAAATGTGAAAAGAGAGACTGGCCTGACCTCCCAGCCTACATCTTTCTCCCATACTGGATGCTTTCTGCCTTTGAACATTGGACTCCAGATTCTTCAGTTTTGGAACTTGGACTGGCTCTCCTTGCTTCTCAGCCTGTAGACGGCCTAATGTGGGATGCTGTGATCATGTGAGTTAATACTTAATAAACTCCCATATACACATACAAACACACACACATATATATACACACACACATATCTATTCCATTAGTTCTGTCCCTCTAGAGAACCCTAATACAGTACATTATCCCACTTCACAGATGAGAAATTGAGGCAGAGAGAAGTTGGATAACTCAGTCAAGGTCACATAGTAATAAGTAATGGAGCCAGGATTTGAACCAATTTCAAAGAGGGTGTGGGACATAGCATTTGTTTCTTAGGCACAGAGCTGAAAAATGCACATAGAGGAAGCAGTGAGTCATTCACACGGACTAGTGTGGGGTTTGTGCTAGAGAATGGGGAAAGACAGTCTGGGGAGAGAGCCAAGGACCAGAATGATGGGCGGAGGAATTTGTCCTCCATTCTGGGAGGCTCTGGGAAGCCACTGAGGACTTCAGAGAAGAGAAAGGCAATCACAGTGGGGCACCAGGAAATTTATCTGTGTGCAAGGCCAAACTAACAAAGCAGGGAGCAACTGGAAGCCAGGCAGTCAGCCAGAGGATACTGCAGAGGTCCAAGCACTAGGTGATGAGGGCTTGAATGAGGATGATAGCAGCCTAGATGGAGGGAAGAGACAAGGGCGTTGCGCTGCCAGGGGAAGCACAACAGGACTTGGGAACTGAAGTACGGGATGTGTCAAGTAGGGGCTGAAGAAAGAGAAACAGATGGGAGGTTTGGGAGCCAGGTGATAGGTAAGTGATAGTATCAGATGTATCATTCAGCAACACTTAGTGTAAAAAGTGTTGGAAAAAAAAGTGTATATCAGCCAGTCTTGCGTGTTCTTTAGCTACAGTGTACCTGTTAATAAGTCGTACCACTCCCACACACCGCAATCAATTGCGAAATAGCAATCTATTTTGCAATATCAGCTCCTGGTAAATTTCACTTGTGAGCCTGAAGCAAGGATAGGGGTGGATTCAAGGACCTCCCCCTAAGGCAGTGAGAGGACCAGGGTTGCAGGACACTGTCAGTTTCGTTCTGGGGCAGCCAGAAGGATGCTTGGTTGCCCAGCAACAATGCTGCCTCCGCAGCAGCCTTGGTTTCCTGCAGTCCCAGATGCATCTCATTAAAAGGATAGAGGGATGGATGGCCGACACATTTTCTGAAGTGTCATTTTCAGCGTCCGGAGTCCTGGTATCTTGTTTATAAGTGGCACTTACAAAATACAAGGGAAAGAAAAAGAAAAGGGGAGAGGAAGAAAGGTCTCCTAGGATCTCAAGCATGCAATGTGTGGATCTCGACTCTCCAATTTCAGCTTGTCTAAGAGACGGGGTGCACAGCCTCCTTGAAATCCACCTGAAATGAATTAGCCTGAAGTAAAAGTAGGTGTTTATCTCAAGTCATTGCCTCAAATAGCTGACTACCTGTTGGAAGAAGGGTCTGATCGATGCAAACCAGAGCAGTCGTGCGTGAGCTGTTACACAGCGGTTAGTATCGATCAGAGCTAAAGGCTGCCGATAGGAATGTGGAGGAAACTGACAGGCAGAGAAGAGGGAAGAAGGAAACAGCCTTCGCTGGTGGCAGCCGTACAGAGGAAAGCCGATAAAAAGTCAATTCCACTTAACTGAATGGCTGCTAACTAAATATTTTTGGGGCCAGAGCCTTCCCAGGTAGCAGCTGGAGCATCTCTGTTCCGGAACTGAGACATCAAGCGAGAGCTGGGCATCGACAGGCACGATCACTGGGCCCTGGTGATGGATGGGGGAAGAAGAGAGCCCCTAGATGCAGAGATGGGAGTCTTTGGGCTCAGCCGAGCTGACTGGGGCACTCGAGGACCGCCACTGACCACAGAGCACTGCTGACAGGCAAGAAAGGAACAGGGTGCAGGCTGGATGTTATGGAACAGTTGCTGATTAATTAGTTCATTTAAAACCATGATCCTTTTTCCTGAACCTCAGTAAGGGCTGTTGAAACTAACAGCTGCAGAGAAAGTTGGACAATGGCTGGTCCTATCACAGACAGAAGCAGAATGGGGCCATGTAGTGTAGTTAAAAGACTGGTTGATGACTTATTTTCCTGAACTTTTATGCCCTCCGAAGGATTGTAGTTCTTTTCCTTGCATTAGATGTGAACACGTAACTTGTTTGGCCAATGAAATTTGAATAGAAGTGATGCATGTCCCTGCTGGGTAGAAGCATTTAATTACTGGTATACAACCTTCCTGTTCTTGGCTTGCCACTGTGATCCTGGATACTAGTGTTGATATGGATAAGAGTGAAACCGTCTGGAATGTTAAGCAAATGGATGGATAATTTTCCAAAACTGCAATGAATTTTGTGTGAATAAGGAATAAACTTTTATTGTGTCACATCACTTAATTTTTGGGCTTGTTTGTTACCCAGCATAACTGAACCTTTCCTGACTAATACAGGGGGGCTGGGTTTTAGAATCCTGTCTCTACCAGTTGTTACTATTTGGGTGATTTGGTCTATTTCTTAATCCACCCCAATCTTGTTTTATTTATATAAAGCACATGAAAACAGCAACGACAACAAATTACCATGTGCTGAATGCTCACAGGTGCAGGCATGGCAAAAGCTCTGCATATATTAACTTGATTAATTCTCAAAGCAACCGTGTGAAGAATCTATTCTTATCTTCATTTTACAATCGTGAAACCTAGCACTCAGAGAGGTTGAAAGAATTCCCCATGGTCACACAGCTTATAAATGACAGGCAAGAGTTCAAACCCAGGCAGACCAATTCCAGAGCACTTTTTTTTAACCATTTTCCTATACTGCCTCTCAGCTTGGGTACTTAATAAATGACAGGTACGGTAAGCCCAGGAATAAATTCACTGACTGACCCGTACTCAAGCACTCCATATGGGAGGAGAAGAAAAAAAGATTGCATTTCTTTTGATCTTTTACCATTTTATACTCCCTATTCCCTTACGAGCCTATGTAGGGTTTGATCCTGTCTGAAATATCCTTCTCCACTTGTTTCCCAAATCCTGGTTATTTCTAAAACTCCAGATCAATTCCCCACTCATTTGTGATACAAACAAGGGAATTCCTTAGCATTAGAAGAGACCATCAGAGAATACCTTTCGGAAGAGTTTCTCATCTATATAACTGGGATAATAACACTCACCTCATGGGGTTGTTGGAGTAATGCTCATCTTTTATCAGTTGAACCCCAAAGAGATCCTAGGGAGAAAGGGGCATTACACTGAACAAGTGCCTACTTCCTTTGTGCTAAGTCTCTCCTTAAACCTTCCCCACACTCTTCCAAAGGGGATACCACTGACCCCAGATGACCGGTGGAGAAACTGAGCCTCAAAGAGTTGAAGTGAGCCAGGCATGGAGGGGCATGCTTGTAATTCCAGCACTTTGGGAGGCCAAGGTAGGTGGATTGCTTGAGGTTGGGAGTTTAAGACCAGCCTGGCCAACATGGTGAAATCCCATCTTTACTAAAAGTACAAAAATTAACCGGGTGTGGTGGTGGGTTCCTGTAATCCCAGCTACTCAGGAGGCTGAGGCATGAGAATCGCTTTAGCCTGGGAGGTGGAGGTTGCAGTGAGCCCAGATCACACCATTGCACTCCAGCCTGGGTGGCAGAGACTCTCTCTCTCTCTCATACACACACACAGAGTTGAAGTGATATCTAGTGTCCGTCTCTACTTTCTCTGAGCCTATATGAGACCATTTCACAATTGTGAGGAGTAACAGTCTTCTAAATACCTTAATTAGGAGATCTTCTTTGCCCTCTGCTTGTCAAATGCTGGTTACTTGAGAAATGCATTCTGTTTACTGATATATCAATGTATTGACGTGTACAGTGTGCGCATGTGTGTGTGTGTGTGCATGCAGATGTGTGTGCATGTGCGTGTATGCGCCCGTGCGTGCATGTGCGTGTGTGTGTGCGTGTGTGTGTGCGTGTGTGTGCCCAGTCACCAATGTCTGGTGGCTCTTTTCAACCGATATTTTGGGCATGGGCTAAGGAGAGTGTGCTCAGGCTATTTTAAGTTTCTGTACTTAATGCTTAGCAATTTTAATAAACTTCATTCCGTTAGGTAGTTGACTTAATATTTTAAATATGGTTTTAATTAACCATCCTCCTTGTGTTTAAGGCAAAAGCAGGAAAACAGGGAAAGCGTCTAACCCGAGAGCTTTGCCAGTGATTCCACTCTTTGTGACAATGAAGGCCAGAATTCCAGAATGCAGAGGCGAGAGCTCTCCCAAAATTGTTTCTTAGGGCATAGACCTATAATGCTTAAATCATTTCTAATCCCACTGGGTTCTGTTATCCCAGCACAGACTGTAAACATTTATTTTTGGGCTTTCCCAGAAATGTGTCTTATGGAAGGGATTAGCTGTTTGCGCATGTAAAGTTCCGAAGGTGAGCTCCTCTAACCTAACCCACATAATTAAAGTGGAAAATTTTTGGTGGAGGAAAAAAAACACATCAGGGAAAATACCATGTTTGGAAAGAGAGCTGTACTCCTACAGTCTCAAGAGATGGCTCTGCGTTCTCGGGCACTTAATTATATCCCATCTTGCTATGTGCTCCAATTCTTTCATCCTTTCGGTCTTTGCAGACAATACCAGGATCCCTGGCACCATACGCTCTTCTCTGAGAGGGTCTACAATGTCTAGCTTTGCAGTGAGACAGTAGGCAACTGGAGGACAAGGAGAGTGACACTGACATGGAGCCAGTGACTGGGTTTACACTATCATTTTAAAACATGAGGTTCATCACTTTTTAAAGTGTGGAGTATATAGGGAAGAAAATAAAAAAGAACAAAGCAAAACAAGAGTTTGGTTTTGGTTTTGTTTTTGTTTTTAAGACAGAGTCTTGCTCTGTTTCCGAGGCTGGGGTGCAGTGGAGGCGATCTCAGCTCACTGCAACCTCCGCTGCCCAGGTTCAAGCGATTCTCCTGCCTCAACCTCCCAAGTAGCTGGGATTACAGGCGCCTGCCACCACACCTGGCTAATTTTTAAAAAAATTTTCAGTAGAGACAGGGTTTCGCCATGTTGGCCAGGCTGGTCTCAAACTCCTGACCTCAGGTGATTCATCTGCCTCAGCCTCCCAAAGTCCTGAGATTACAGGCGCGAGTCACCATGCTGGGACCAGACAGTTTCCTTTAAAAATGCAAATGGCTAGGGGCACTAGTAGACATTTGTCACCAACCCCTCTGCAACTGCAGCTTTATGCCTGAGTTGGTGGTGCTGGTTCTGGAGTTAGACCCTCTGGGCTGCACTCCAGGTCCTGTCCCTTGCTGGCTCTTGTTAACTTCTTTGTGTCTCAGTTTCTCTATCTGTAAAGTGGGAGTAATAATAGGACTTGTTTTCTAGGGTTGACATGAGAATTCAATGAAAGAATATATGAAAATACCATGAGAACAAGTCAATGCACAGCATTACATAGCAGGACCTGCGAAAGGTCAGCTACTATGCCTGTTATAGATAATGAACACCTAAAAATAAATCATTTAAGAAAAAACAACTGCCCTTGTGAAGTACTTGATAAACACGATTCATGGTCCAGAGTGCTTGATGTACACCACTCATACAATCTTTCACTCAACCCTAAGGCAGTAGGTTCTAGTAAAAGTCCATTTCACAGAGGAGGGAACACAAAAGCAAAATGTAACTTGCCCAAGGTCATGCAGCTAGGTCAAGCTGGGCTTTGAGGGCACGTCTGATTCTTCCTATTGGGCCAGCTAAGACAGGGTAGTTTTAAGAGGGGAACACAGAGAGACAGAGAGACTTTAGGACCCAGAGATGCTAGTCAAAGTGTGAGCTGACGCAATGAGCGCCACAGGGTGGGAGGGATATCCAGAGGAGAGGACCAAAGCATCAAAGGAACTTTGCCTTTACCTGATTTTGCCTAGGGCCAGTACAATATCTGATTTCTTTTGTGGTCTCCAATGTTGCCTGGAGCAGGGAGTTACCAAAAGCCACAGGATCTGGGATCTGAGTCCTAAAACTAGGTACTGTATTCCAGTTCTACCACATATTCTATGATCTTGGCAACTCACATTCCTTTCCCAGCAAGTTTCATTTTCTGGGAAATGGGGATCAGAAATCGAGGCTCCCCTACCTCACGGAACTGTTGTGAAGCTCAAATGTTTGGGGATGTTTAACTGCTCGGTTAACTAGAAAGCACTGCACAGAGATGCTAGATATTATTACTGGCTTGATGCCTCCCTGTGAATGCAAGAAGGATGCAGGTCCAGTGCAGTGGCTCACAGGTGTAATCCCAGTGCTTTAGGAGACCAAGGTAGGAGGATTGCTTGAGGCCAGGAGTTCAAGACCAGCTTGGGCAGCATAGTGAAACCCTATCTCTACAAAAATTTAAAAATTAGTCCCATGTGGTGGCACACAACTGTAGTCACAGCTACTCAGGAGGCTGAGGTGGGAGGATCACTTGAGCCCAGGAGAATGAAGCTACAGTGAGCTATGATTATATCACTGCACTCCAGCCTGGGTGACAGAGGAAGACTCTGTCTCAAAAAAAAAAAAAAAAAAAAGAGTGGAGAGGGGATGCACTTGGTCCTTCAAAACTTTGATTTAGAGAGGACCCAAATTTGTGCCTCTCTGGATAAAACTTTATGGTGTCAGAGATCCTGGTATTGTCTGGAATCAATTCAAGAAGAGGGAAGGAGACTGGGAGCCTCGTGGATGAAGGTATTATGATAGCAGGTTTCAGGAACATGCTGTAATCAGCTGTCTCCTCTCTGTAGTTCCACTCCTAGCAATTTGAGGCCAGCTGGGGACTGGATGATGTCCTCTCTGATGCATTGGAATTTGTCCTGCTTTATGGTCTGGTCTGCTATAGGACCACATATCACACAGAGACACAAAGCAATTGACAGCATCCCGGCCGTTTCTTACAGATCCAATATCCTGTGTCTAGGTTGTATTTCAGGCCAACTTTTAGTGAAGTGGATCAATGCTTGAAGCACATAATGTAACATGATTCTTCAAGAGTTTGATTAATTGTGTCACAGTCACAGCCTCAGTTCAGGTTCAACCTTTTAAAAGTTTTATTATTGTATAAAGTGATCAATCAGGAGGAGAGGGAAGACAAATGCTCGATGTTGGCCATCTCTCTCTCTCGTCTTCGTCAGCAAGTGTTCTTCTCCTGGTCAGTTCAGCTGGATCATGATGGAGAAATTCATGAAGATGCATGGCGCAGCAAAATATGGACCACCAAAGAGTGCTCTGAGTGGAAGTCCAGCTGCTCCAGTGCTGACCAACCTTGGCAACACACAGGAGGCCCTGGGGTGTTTTAAGAAGGTCAGAGCCCTGTATTTCACCCACAGAAGTTCTGATGCTCTTGGTCTAGGGCCTGGTCTGGGCATCTCTTGGGGATTCTAATGTGTAACTGAGTGTTATGGTGGAATTATGTCCATAACCTCCAGTATCCCAGAATGTGACTGTATTTAGAGATAATACCTTTAAGGAGGTAACTAGGGGCTGAGCGCGGTGGCTCATGCCAGTAATCCCAGCACTTTGGGAGGCTGAGGTGGGTGGATCACCTGAGGTCAGGAGTTCAAGACCAGCCTGGGCAACATGGCGAAACCCCGTCTCTACAAAAAATACTAAAGAGGCTGGGCGTGGTGGCTCACGCCTATAATCCCAGCACTTTGGGAGGCTGAGGTGGGTGGATCACCTGAGGTCAGGAGTTCAAGACCAGCCTGGCCAACATGGTGAAATCCCATCTTTACTAAAAATACAGAAATTAGCCAGGTGTGGTGGCGGGTGCCTGTAATCCCAGCTACTTGGGAGGCTGAGGCAGGAGAATCACTTGGAAAAAAAAAAAAAAAAGAGGTAATTAGGGTACATTGAGGGCATACGGGTGGACCCTAATCCAATAAGACTGGTGTCCTTTAAAGAAGAGGAGATTCGGACACAGACACACAGAGCAAAGACCATGTGAACACCCTGGAGGAAGATGGCCAGCTACGAGCCAAGGTGAGAGGCCTCAGAAGAAACCAATCCTGCCAACACCTTGATCTTGGGCTTCTGGCCTGCAGAATTAGGAGAAAATACATTTCTGTCATTGAAGCCGCCTAGTTTGTCATACTTTCTTTGTGGTATTTTGGGGGTTCCTGTCCACCAACTTCTGTTTTCTCCATCTCCAGATCCCTCTCTTGGGTCATATCCTGTTAGAAGCTGCTCTCACAGTAATCCCCAAGAAGGTATTAGCTGAACTTAAGGTTTTAGCCCTCCCACAAGTACCTGCATTTTAATACGGGATTCTTACCTGGAGTAATCTAGGTAGCTGAGATGCATTTGGACTGATGGCTTTCCAGTCATCATTGCTGTAGTGACAGCCAATACTTACTATGTGCCAAATACTGTTCCAAGTGCTCTCGCTCTCTGTCTCTCTGTGTCTGTCTATATCTATGTCTATATCTGTATCTATTATGCATTCGTTGAATCCCCCCAATAGCCCTATGAGGTACGTGTGCTTAAAAGAGGAAGCTGAGGCACAAAAGGGTTGAGTAATATATCCAAGGTTTTACAGATAATAAATGGCAGAGCTACGATTTGAACCCAGGAAGTCTGACTTCAGGTACCATGCTTTTAACCACTCGCCACTCAGATGACCTCAATGGCCCCTAGCAGGGTCAGAACAGACTTTGGGGACTAGCTTTGTTTTTCTAACAATAGCTGTTAGTGACCTTCCCTGTTAGTCTCCCCACCTCTTTTTTTTTTTTTTCACTCTTGCTCTGTTACCCAGGCTGGCATGCAGTGGCATGATCATGGCTCAGTCCTGGTCTCAAGTGATCCTCTTGCCTCAGCCTCCCTAACAGTTGCGACCACAGACATGTGCCACATCCAGCTAACGAAACATTTTTTTTTTTTTTTTTTTAGATATGGGGTCTTGCTATATTGCCCAGACTGGTCTTGAACACCTGGGCTCAAGTGATCCTCCTGCCTCAGGCTCCCAAAGTGCTGAGATTACACGTGTGCCCCACTGTACCTGGCTCCCTGTTAGTTCTTATTTCTCTATTTCTAAGTGCCTGAGACAGTACCCTCTGTGGGATATTTTTTTTTTTTATTGTTTCCAAATATTACCCTTCCCTATGGGAGGATTATCCTTCTCCCATCTCATCAACGTCAGACTTGGCCATGTGACTTGCTTTGGCTGCCCATAAAATGTGAGAGGAAGTGATGTTTGCTACTTTTGAGCAGAAACTTTAAAAGTCATCATGCAATTTTTCTCTTCTCCCTTCTAGCATGAGAATACTTTGAAGCTAGGCCCAAGCAGCAACTTCAGCTCAGGTCTCGGAATAAAGACAAAATAGAGGGGAGATGCAATCAACCTGTGAGCAAAAAAAATGTATATTTGTTGCAAGCCACCGAGACTCAGGGGTTGTTTGTTACTGCATCATTACTTAGTAAAAACTGACTGATACACTCTCTGAATACCAATATATTTAAGTGAAATGCCAGGACTGTTGTAAGGATAATATCTTTAATCAATAAGCATACTCTTAAATAACCAATAAACTATATTATAGCTTATCCAAGAAATCTTGCAAAACAGCTTTCTACCTTCTGTGAATACTTTCTGTGCATCTATCCATCTCCATCTCAGAAGGCTAAAAGATCATAAACCCTTGCCTAGCTCAGTACACATGGAGTTCATTCACCACTCAATATGTACAAAGAGAATCAGCAGGAAGAGATGGAGAAGACTAAATGTTATTTTAGGTTCCAGGATATTGGATGGAATGGGAGAGAAAAAGGATTTATTTTCTTTCATAGATGGGAATTAGTACAAAGGCCTGATGAGACTGTCCCTTATCCAAGGACAGAGAATGAAAGAACTTGTCAATGTAAATTATTCCAAGCTTTCGACCCTGCTGCCATTTTTGGTTCCAAATTGCTCACGTTTCTTAGAGGCTGCAAACTTATGACCTATGAACTGAATGTGGCCTGTGGAAGTCTTTTAACATACCAAATAAAACACTCTTCTATGTGCGGATGTTTGAATCAAATTGATTGCCAACAATCAAAATTTGAGATATTTCAAGTTAAAAAAAAATAGTTCAAGCTTCTCTTAATTGAAAGCCTTGGTTACACTGGGCTTAGGAAACTTCAACTAGAGTTGAGCAGCAGCTGCTTCTTAGGCTGGGCATGGTTTCCACAGTCCCTACCTCTCCCTATTGCCTTATACTAGGCTCACTTCACTTATTTATATTCTTTTATTTTTTTTTTTTTGAGATGGAATCTTGCTTTGTTGCCCAGGCTGGAGTGCAGTGGTGCGATCTCGGCTCACTGCAACCTCCGCCTCCTGGGTTCAAGCAATTCCCCTGCCTCAGTCTCCTGAGTAGCTGGGATCACAGGCACACACCACCATGCCTGGCTAATTTTTGTATTTTTAGTACATGTAAAATCACTAGACTTTGATATTTCAGCAATTGGTAAGGATGGTTTCGAACTGAACTTGTGATCCACCCGCCTTGGCCTCCTAAAGTGCTGAGATTACAGATGTGATTATTTATATTGTTTACTTAACCCATGGAACCACTTGAGTTTGCCACCTTGGGTATCAATTAACTCCTTTCCTTTCCTTTTTCTTGTCCTTCTTTTATTCCTATGTCTTCCACAGTGAAAAAGGAGATCTCGGGGACTCTATTTTTGTCACTCTGAGGACATCACTCTTCTGCCTTGTTTTTGGAATTTGGGGTGACCCAAACTTGACAGTCCAGTTCTTTGGTTCCCAAAAAGAATCATTCTAAACTATCTATTAGGTTGGTGCAAAAGTCATTGCAGTTTTTGCCATTAAATGTAATGGCCAATGGGTGCAGTGGTTCATGCCTGTAATCCCAACACTTTGGGAGGCCAAAGCAGGCAGATTGCTTGAGGTCAGGAGTTTGAGACCAGCCTGGCTAACATGGTGAAACTTCGTCTCTACTAAAAACACAAAAATTAGCCGGGCATGGTAGTGCATGCCTGCAGTCCCAGCTACTTGGGAGGCTGAGGTGGGAGGATCACTTGAACTTAAGAGGCAGAGGTTGCAGTGAGCCGAAACTGCACCACTGCCCTACAGGCTGAGTGACAGAGTGAGAGTCTGTCTCAAAAAAAAAAAAAAAAAAAAAAGTAATGGCCAAAACTGCAATGACTTTTGCACCAATCAAATAAGACAATTCTAGGGGTGCAGGGAAGGGATGCTTTCTGCTAGAGATCCTGACAATGTTTATCTAATAGCTTCTACAGTACTCGGTGATTTGCATATTTGTATAGCTAGCAGGTCTCGGAGCAGCATAAGCTTCCTGCCCACTAGATAATTCTGTTGCTTAACAAACCATAACAGCTTTGATTATATGGAAAAAGCTAGCAGTAAATGATTGGAAAATGATTTTACTGTTTTCTGTTATGGAAACTCACATGTAGGAACATTATGGAACTGTCTTGAAATTTCTTTTGCCTTCTAAATGTAAAATCACTAGACTTTGATATTTCAGCAATTCTAGATTTTAAAATATCAGAGCTGATGAGATCGATACTGCTTTGTAGATACCTACACTGCAGAGAGCCAGCCAGTGCTATCTGGATAAAGTAGACAGTGGGTAGGCATTTGCAAGCCTCTCACCTACCCTTTTTCTTTTCCTGCACCAGATTCATTACTATACTGACCTCTCATTGGCTAAAACTTTACATCAAGGCCCAGGGACTGTAAACCCACGGCAGCTTGGACTATATGGAATATGAATGTTGAGATACATACTTCAGTTCCTGAACTCAGTAATGAAATCACCCTCAGAGTTCTCATGCCAGCATTCAGCTAGCTGCAACTTTCTCCTGCTTGCCTTCTAAGGAGATTAAGAACGGGCATTTTATTTTGTTTCTGTTTTAGTTTATTTGAAGGTTTTATGATGTCTTGGTTGAGTGGCTCGTGGGACTTGCAAATAAACATGCTGCTTTTAAAAATGGCAAGTTGTTTTTATTTATTTCTTTTAGGTGCCCAGTGACCTCCGGGTATATTAGGCAGCTTTAAATTATAATTAAAATAATAACTGTCATCCTAAAACAATAATAGATGTTGAATGATACAAACACCAAATTAGGATGTTCAGAAAATCTGTATGAAGGAAGCCAGAGAAAGCATGGAATTAAAAACATTATCTTTGCGGCAGTGTGACCAAAGGAAACTTATCTCAAACAGCAGCTTTGTTATAATGTTTTTTTGTTTTGTTTTGCCTTCCTATAAGGCTACTCAAAATTTGTTTTGTATTTCTTAGATTTGGGGTATTGGGGGGTGGGGGAATATCCAGTTCTTTAGTTGATCTTGTTATGACTTTACCGACAGAAGGAAATAATGAAAACTGCTTGCCATCGGAGAAAATCCCCTGTATTCTGATGATTTCTTGACAATTTCTCAAGTCCATGGACACAATCAGTAGAAGCTGACATTGTGTTTCGCTGGATGCCAAATCCTCAGAGTGCTTCTGAGTCCCTCTAAGACATACATCTGCATTCCTCCATCTGTCATCTTAGTTCATCTTCCTCTCCCAACTGTTCTTAAATTAAATGACTACATCTAATGGGAGATTTTCTCGTGAAAGCTTATGAGAATTTGTCTGAAGACAAATTAAAACATTGCAATGTAATCACCCAACTCCACTCACTGCTTGGCTGGCCCCAGTGCCTGCTTTTACCCAAAGGGGTTAATCAATGTTTGGGCCCTGTATAGAGAGAAGCAATCAGGAAGGAAGCCCATTCAAGAGGAGGTGGCACCCACCCGCTGATGGTCAGAGGGTCAGGGGATGAAGACTGGATCTGCCCGCTGCAGAGAGAGCTGTGAGATATGCCAGGGCTCCAAAGACCAGGACAAGAAGAGTAGGAGACTCTCTTGTAGGGAGTGAAAGAAAACAAACATCTGGTTCTCGAATATCAAGGCATGATGCTTAACCCCAGGGATATGAAAGTTCCCCTTCTCTCACCCTCCACTCCCCATGGATGAGTGGATGTTTTCCTGCAGTTGTTACAGGTCACCAGGGTTGATGGGACTCTTCAGCTTGGCTGGTCATTGCCCCCCACTTTTTTTTGAGATAGGGTCTCACTCTGTCACCCAGGCTGGAGTGCAGTGGGATGATCATGGCTCACTGCAGCCTGGACTGCCCAGGCTCAAGCAATCCTCCCACCTCAGCCTCCTGAGTAGCTGGGACCACAGGCATGCGCCACTATGCCTGGCTAATTTTTGAAAACGTTTTTGTAGAGACAGAGTCTCACTGTATTGCCCAGGCCGGTCTCAAACTCCTAGGCTCAGGCAATCTTCCTGCCTCGGCCTCCCAAAGGGCTGG